GAGAAGACGTATCATTAAGATAGGCTCGGGGAAGAGGGGAAGGGAGGGAAGGATGCGCAGAAACTTTCCATCTGCTCTTTTAAAGAACATGTTATTGCTTTTCGCACTGAAGGCCTTCCTTAGCTCCGTCTCTCCCTCCCTCGTCCAACCCGCCGAACCACAGCCAGAATCACTCAAAGACAATGGTGAAACCCGGCGACTCGTTGCTGGGCGAGAAACTAAATCACTGTGTTTTGTCAGATAGGAGCTAATTTGGAGGCTTAGCATTGAGGAGGACAAAAACTATTTTGTCCTCCTCAATGCTTGTTTGGCTTCCTGGCCAAGTTGCGCTCGTCACTCCGCTCTGTTTGTGTTTGAATTTTTTTTTTTTTTTTAGGAAAGCTGCTACGGAAAATTGGAAGCAGGATCAGAATAAAGTAAAAACCACTGAAGCACAGTTATGAATGAAATCTTATTTTGCTTCTTTGCTTCCAGTGACCCAGGCTCTTTTAACCTTTGGGATCTCAATAAATAGGCATTTTTGAAGGTCATTCAAACTCTTTCTTTGGATTATAGTTGTCATTTCGACTCATTACGTCTGACTATGGCAGCATTTTGTGTTGTGTGCTTGAAAATCTGTAAAGTGGACAAGTAGAATGGAGAACAGATAAAAAGCTGTTTTAAGTCTGTGGTTCATATTAGATTCAGCATACAGATAAAAAAAATAAGTGTTTCTGACAGACTTCTAAATAAGACAATCTCTTTTTATTCAGTTGTGACATTTTTTGAAAGTGATTGGTTTTGTTTGAATTCTTCAAGATGCTGGATGCGAGTGCATGTGTTGTCATTTATTCATAGTTTTGCACATTTATCTGACTTTTTAATAGGAAAGTTCAACCAAGGGCTACATCTGCCACATGTGTCTGGAAGATTTGTTTTCAGGTCAACCATTACTTTGTGCCTTGTGCTGTTTTATAAGAGATTTAAAATACATTTTAAAAAGGAATACTTTGAAATTAGCCTGGATCTTGACAAGCAGTGAGAATAAAAATCAGCCAAAACCCAACAGAGCCTGGCCTTTGCCTTCATATGTAACTCTGCTCGATTCTCATCTCCCTTCAGTGGTGCGTCTGAGTTTTCTCCCATTAAGCAGGATTTCCATGGTTGAATTTCACAGCGATCCTGTGATTTCACAACAAGGAGAAGTTGTGACCAATGACATCAATTTTCTGCGCAGTTTTAGTATTGTAGTCTGCTTTTAGTTTTAGCAGTGGCAGCAGAGGATGTGAATGAAGCCGTTCAGTCCGTGTCGATCACTCTTCCAAATATTGAACTAATATTAACAGCCGCCTCATTTAGCTTGGCACCACCAACTGTTAGCTGCCTCTGGCTAACCGTTATCCAGTAACAACTGTTAGCCATTAACAGCTGTTAGCCGGTTCTGAACTGGATAATTTTTCAATCCACCAAGATTGTTTCAAATGCTGTCCCAGAATGGTACACATTTGTCTTAAAAATCCAAAGCAGGCATGTTTTCAGTGTGTTTTTGGCATTAGGGTGATTTTAGAATGAAACAAACATAAGAAACTGCAACACATTAACCTGTGTAACCTGGAGTGTAATTTTTATACTGATTGCAGAGTCCTTAAAATGCAGTTTGTGAAGTTAAAGGGAAAGAAAACAAAGGCTCTTATATTACAAAATTCTGATGTTGTGTATTTCTCATGAACTCTGTGTCATGCACCGTCTTGTCTCGTGAGCTCACGTATTGTCACTCCCCGACCAGCCAGTTTAAAATAACTTCCTCATCGCATCGGCTTCCTTCTTTCTCTTCTTGATGTCGCTCGAAATCACGCTCACCCAACCAACCCCCATTTTCCCACTGCCTAAAATTCTGATTACATGAGTGTGACCAGTGTTGTGGATCAGGTTTTGTGTGCATGCCTAGAAGCTACGGAGAGCGGAGCATTGAGAAAGGATGTGCTTGTGCTGAGCTGTGGCCGCTGGCATGGCTGAAGCCCCTTCGGTATCACGAGGAAGACACTCCTGCCTTCAGTTCCATGACACGCAGAATAGACTCATTGATCAGGGTCAGATCTCCTTGTTGAAGAAGGGAGATTTTTGAAGACATCTTATTTTCCACATGATTTGTTGATATTAATATGTCAGCAGAGAATTTATGCGATTCCTGTTCGTAAGCCAGGAGGGCACAATGCCCCGTCTTGTATTGGTAGATTTAACGGATCCTTTGTTCGCCGATGCTCCTCATTTCCACAGAGATTTGGTAAAATTAATCTTATTAGTTTTTATGACATCCTACTGACAGATAAACTGATAAATTGATATACAACCGACTTTGAAATACACCTCTGCTTTCGTAGACGTATCGCTACGTCAAAATGAGGCAGGCGGCCAAACAGCAGCGCTGTCGCGTTTTTACGCAGTAAGCGTTTTACACGCAAATTTATTTTGCGGTTCTTGCAAATCTGACATTATCTGATCAGCCTGAAACATGTCCTCGTGCACACACGTACGCAAACCTACACAATAACGGGGCATAATCTCTGCAAACACACTTCCAGAGGAGCACAGGAAAAAAAAAAAAAAAAAAAAAAAACGGTTGATGAAGTGGACACAAATTTGGCCGGAGGCGACAATGCAATTATAACTTAGCGCATGAAATTAGCCTCCTTGTGTTTCCATTCCCCGCAACCAATCACATGGATAAGGGAATGCTGGGGGAAAGGAGAAAAAGAGTCTCCTCTCACGCTCTCTCCTCCTTGCTCAGCATTAAACACAATCCTGGTCATTATGCGCTGGAAAAACTGTAATAAAAAAAAATGAAAAAGCTGGCGCCAGACTGATTTTTCTTGTCTGATTGACTATCATGAGTCGGTCGCCTTGTTAGGCACACTGCAAACACCAGCCACATGCGTGGTGTCAGTGTTGGTCACCCTAATTCAGGATGCAAGTTATAAATGCCAGCAACAGAAGTTATGCTTTTTCTTTTTTTTTTTGTCTTTTCTAGGCTTTTCAGTGACATTTATTGGTTTCATAAAAACAAAATGTTTAAGTAAATCAAACCCTATGGGCAGTAAAATGTTTTTTTTGTTTTTTTAATTAGCGTATCTTATGTAAATGGATACACAATAATTTCCAGTGTGTTCAGACACACTGGTCGTGAAATTACTTACGCTTACGTTCACCCCTGGCTTTTCTTCATCATCCCTCCTCTTCTCTTTTTATGGCTTGCTTACGGCACAGACCCGGATTTGTCTCACTCATGAACCGGACATTGTACTGCATGAAACAGAGTCCAAGCCACCATGATGCCACACGCTCTCATGTAAATCCACATACTCCTTCAGTGCCTGCTATATATATGAACAGGTGGCTCAGCGTTAACTGTTCTCAGCTGGTTCGTGGTGGTGGTGGTGGGGGGGGGGGACTCGTAAAGCCGCTTTGAAACAGGCTCAGTTTAACTGTCCAGTCGGCTACAACAATATGCATTAAGGTTTACTTTTTGCATCCAAAAATAAGCCAGCAACCTAAAGTTGATTCATTTAGATCCAGTTTATGAGTCTGACCTTCCAGAGCGTTCACGAAAGACTCCGGCTGCATTTCCGTTGACTTTTAAAAAAAAGTGTGCAAATTGAAATTGCGTAAATAAATTTGCTTAATGGAAAAAGGTCAATTTAACAAAAAAAAAAACAAAAAAAAAAACACCTCGAGTTTTTCGATTAAAACATTTTTGCATTAGGATGAGGTGATGTTTCGTTTGTATCAAAGTTAGTGTGTTTCGCAAAACTGCAATGGAAAAACACTTTTTTGTTTCGCCTCAAACGAGTCACGCATTCAACAACCGGAAGTTACCAGGAAAGACGGAGAAGACGACAGGAACCGGGTGGAGGATGATGGCCTGGCATGTTTTTGAATGATTTATCATGTGAACAAACTCATTCACGTGATCTTGGCTGTATTTCTTATTTAATGGAAACACCGCAATTGTGAAAATGTGTTTTTTCGACCAATATTAAAGTTTTGTGCACATTTATAATGGGAACACAGCTTCTTGGAGTGTTTCTCTGTGTGGGATTGTGAGACTGTAAGAGATTTTATCACGGTAAAGGAACCCTATAGTGCTTCAACAGACAAACCCTTTAAGGTCTTTTAATACTGAAAGATTTTGTGCATTGGAATTTGGAAAAATCACAGACGCTCACTCCTAAAATCTTTATTAAAGGTATTAAGAGTTCGCTTGGATTTGTTGAACTGAAGTTATTTAACCCTTTAAAGACCTCTTAAACCGGATTAAAAGCCTCTCTCAGAAGGTATTATGTATTCCTAGGGAATCCCCTCTTCCTGTTTTAAGATGGAGGATAAAAGAAAGCAAGGACCCATCCGATACTCCACAGTGAAAACGTATCAATCTTGGCAGCAGAAAAAGAGCAAACTTAACAGTTAAATCAGTGTTACAATCTATAACCAGCGGGAGTGAAGACAAAGGATTACGCGAGTGTTAACCGTCTTCGCTTGTCTTTATTCCGTTGGGTCGACGCTACATATTCTCATCTCACTGATTACATATGCAGCGGGGTGAAAGGGGGGGGCGTCGATGCGAATATATTTGTGTAAGAGGCTGCCTAATTACCAGAGCTGGTTCTCCACTTCACTTAACTTTCTAATTGGCTTGCCTTTTTGGCTGCCATTAATTACAAGATTTCATATTCCATTAATGAATTGTGTGTGTGTGTGTGTGTGTGTGTGTGTGTGTGTGTGTGGGGCGAGGGGGTAAGTAATCTGCTCATACTCACACCAACTTCCAGTATAAATCTAGATATAGACACAGCCAGTGAGACTGAAGACACACGTCTCATTTCTACCTGCGTGTTTTTTGTTTTTTGCTCATGTGATTGTTCACATCAAGGCCCTCGACTCAGAAAACTAGAAGCTTCATTAATCAATTTGTGGTTATTATTATTTTTTTTCTTCTCATGCATGCTGTCGTTCTCCTCCCTCAGCATCCCTACCCCTCAGAAGAACAGAAGAAACAGCTGGCGCAGGACACAGGACTCACCATCCTACAAGTGAACAACTGGTAAGTCGCTTCAGAGTTTACATGCAGTCGATTTTTTTGTGTGTTTTTTTTTTTTCGGGGTGGGACCGCCTGGGGCTATCCTAGTTCTTAATGATTGGAATTAATGCCTCCCCTCCTCCCCCACTTTTCATCCCTCTCTTACTGAATTCCTCCTCAACCCAGATCAATCCATGTGAGGAGATATGGCCTGGAGTGGTTTTTCTCTCTCTTTTCTTTTTTTTTTTTTCTCCAAAAAGCAACTGCTTAACTCAGCCCCGACATGAGCATCCATGTAAATTAACTATCTTTAAGAAAAAATCCAATAACATCATTCATTATGTGCAAGTTAGATGAGGGATGATCACTTGAAAAGTGGTAGCTTACAGGGTAATTATAGGTGTTTGGCCCGTTCATTTCAGGGTTTACGGATTCTGTTTTAGCATTACTGTAATTAACGTTCATTTTAATCTTTGGGCTTATTTTGTCTAAGTTGATTGCAATATTTAAGCAGAATGTTAAAATCTAGGATTCATTTTACTTGTAATAGCAAAAAGTACTAATTGCTTTGATTTGTTGTCCTTTTTAGCAACTTTAGTCATTTTTTAGCAGTACATGCAGCTCATGAAGTATTATGTTGGGGTCACTAGATGAGATGACTTTTTTTTTTTTTTTTTTTACTTTGGAGGACTTCTTCAGTTTGTTTTTACCAGTGTAGGTTTTGCAAACTGCATTTTAATAACCAGTCTAGAATAATCTTAATGGAACTCTACAGAATACTTTGCCATGATCGTCTCAGATCTCACATGCCATGTGTACAATACGTCTGTGTCACTGCTGTAGTATTTGAACCATGACCAGCTAGTATCCTGCAGGTCTTCTGAGACACAAACCCTGCATTGACGAAAACTCACTATGGCATACCAGATGCTTGAAACTGAAAGTGAAACTGGTGGCACAACCTACTTCATGGCTTTTCTGACCACTGTAAATTTCACATCTTTCATACACAATCCATGCTGCATTAAAAGTAACAAAAAAACATTAAAGATGAGACACTTTAAAAAGTGCATGAAATCAGCATCTGATTTCATGCATGCCTATATGATCTTAGGATGTAGGAGTTGTTTGTATCTCTTCGGTTACCCAGTTATCTTTCTTCTTTTTTTGACTGGCTACATTAAATATTGAAACTTAAATGTTTTGAAAGTTCTGGCAACTTCTTCAGTGCTAACTGTGTTGGTACGATGGGTGTCATTAAGCCTATTTTAGGGAGCTGAAGTCTCTGTAAAATTGTTTTAAGCCTCTCTAAATAATTTGGTGTTTGTTGTTATTATTATTAGTATGTTGTTATTTACAAAAAAAAACTGCCAACAAATTCAATATAATTTGGCCAGAATATGCCACAAATAATTCTGTTTATCTTGGCAACATTAACTAAGAAATCATTTTGTTATATTGATCAGTTGTTCAGTCATATTTTGTACTGTGAGTTTTCCATTGCCCCAGAAACTAGTTTAAAAAAAAAAAGCAACTTCTCAGTTGTTGTTTGAAAGGTTTTCTACCTTCCTGCTCTGTTTGCTCAGATCCTGGGGGCTAATCCACCCCTTTCCTTTAAACCTAGTGACGGCCCTGGTTGCCACCCAGCCCAAAGAGGAGTGCTCATTAACGGAACATTGCATCTGAACAATTACTTTCTTTCTTACTTTGCTACAAGAGTTTTAACTCCCCATTACATCAGAGCTTAAATGAGTCAATATCACAAAATCTCATAACTGCAGTATTTCAAATATTTTTGGAGCAACTTTAGCTTTAAAGTAATCCTTGTTAACAAGGGGCCCCACTTGGAAGTCTACAGCCTGGCTGCTAACCTGCCTCTGCAAATTACCGCTCTGTGAGTGCCAACTAGGCAGCTAATTGCAAACAAGTGTGACTGGCCAGGCTCATAAAATAAGGTTGCTAACTATCCGTTTTAACCTTAGGTAACACTGTTAAAGGTAGAAAGGGGCCCTGTGTCCTCGTGCGGCCGGTCTTATCAGTGAGATAGCTATCAGCACATGCTTAGCGTTATTAGCCGTGTCTAATTAAAGGGGCTGAAGCCCGGGAAGCCGAGGCACGGCCCTGGCAGAGCGCGTTTGATCTGCGCAGCCCTTAAAATAATCCTTGAAAGCGCCTTGCGAGGTGCGGGCATAAAAACGAGTGGAGGAGAGGCGAGAAGAAAGCGATGAGCGGCCTAGCGAGAGTGAAAAATAGATGAGTAAAAAAAAAAAGAAGGGTGAGATAAGGACAAGAAGGAGGGGAAAAGATGAGGCCCGATAACTCCCCCATTACCAGCCGTCTAATGATGTTAACATTATTCCCAGCCATTGTTCGTTCAATCCGAGACCTCAGAGACGTTAGATTAGGGTATGATGGATCAGTCTGTGGAGGATTATACCCAACACAAACATACACACACACACACACACACACACACACACACACACACACACACACACACACACACACACACACTGCCTTCTGACCAAAGGGAATCCTGTAGAGGTTATCAAATCACGTGACACCCCCTCCCCCCCGCCACCCAACCACCTTTAAAATCCAAGGGAGGGCATCACTTCTTACAGCTGTGTCATTGTGTGTGTGTGTGTGTGTGTGTTTGTGCAAGAGACAGATAGACTTACAGAGTCACATGAACTGTGGCTCGGTCTCTTTACCTTGAGTGTGTGTTTGTTTTTTTGTATGGGTATGGCAACAAACCCTGAAGGTTTGTGTGTGTGTCTGTGAGAGAGAGAGAAAGAGAGAGAGAGAGACAGAGAGAGGGAGAGAGCAAGGCCACCACACACACTGTGCAAATCGTAGGTGGCTAATCTTGGTTTGTGGAAGATGTCGTGTGTGTGTGTGTGTGTGTGTGTGAGAGAGAGAGAGAGGAACCGGGGGTGGTTAATCTAAGGGGTATTAATGTTAAACCCTGCATGCTGGGATCCCGCTGCCCCCTCACATTTCGATATATACAAGTGTGTCTGCGGATGTGTGTGTGGGTATTTGTCCACAGGCAGATTTCCATGCATGGTTCGGTTGTCTGAGCAAGCGAGCCGCAAGTCGCGGCTTGAAAGGACGACTGAGAATTAAAAGAAATACAAAGAAAATGAGGAGAAAGAGATGAAAGCAGGAAGAGAACGATTAGAAGAAGAGAGAGGTGGGGAAGAAATGGAAAAATAAAAGACGGACAATGACGGAGCAATGGAGAGAGAGGGAAAGACAGAGGGAGGTTATGTTAGGGGAACTGCCATTTCACTGGCATGTTGTTGTGCTGGATGGGAAGCCCCGTCATTGGGTGTCTCCATAGCAACCCCTAGTGATGTTACCTCCTGACCCACTGATTTAGTGAAGTCAATTTCCCTAGATGTGATTCTGTTTGTCAGCGGCTATTGGAAAAACACACTCGTTCGCACGTAGACGTGATCAAATTCAGACGCGCGCGCGCACACACACACACACACACACACATGCACGGCGCGCAGTCGTGTTCAGTTTCCAACTTCAGAGGGCACGGAGCGCTTAGCGGGAGTGTGGCTCAGAGTTGCGCGAAAGTCATTTGAGTTTAATTCGTGTCAAACGACCACAGACGCTCGATGGGGTCATCCGTATTTATGTCGTCCCAGCAGAGGAGGGTTTGAAGATGAAAAGCGTACGGCCGCGCTCACCGACGGAAACGCACGCCCCCGTCACATGGTGCAGCGACACAACGCCGGCGAACACACACACTCTCGCGGGGATTTCTTCATCGTCATGTGCCTCATCACACAGCGTCTGCTGCACACTCGTGCAACTCTCTCCTCTTGCTCTTTTCTCTCACGCACCGCGGATGTGTTAACACACATGTCTCCGTGCATTATTGATGAGCGGGCACGTGGTGGGGCTCGGCGAGATTAAATAAAAATGCTAAAGGCCGGCAAGGGGGCGCAGATCACTCATGAATTATTGGCAGAAGTACGCTGCACCAGGGAATCTCAATTTGAATGGAGAGAGATTCATGCAGAGTAGAAAGAGAGTTGAAACGAAGGAAGGCCTGAATGGAGACGCACACACACACGGGAGAGGAAAGTTACACATACACTTAGTGGACAGGGGCACTGTCCAAGCACAAATGACCCTTAGACCTACGTGGACACATGCAAGAACTCATTGATTTTTTATTATTATGTAACAAGACTTTGAGCTTTCCTATGAGATGATGAATGTGGCATCAGTGAAAAATCCTTAATGATTAGAAGAAGATACTTAGTGATGCTTCAAGGTCTTTGAGCAGTAGATTACAATGTCATCAGTATACAAACTTATAAACCCCTCAGCGAGTTCCAGTGAGTCTGGAGTACACTTAACTGTCAGATGCGTACAATAAACATGCAAAAGTATTCATGTCCATGACTTTTTGAGTCAAGATTCAGCACAAATACTGTCAGTCAGGAGACAAAACAGGGGAAAGTCATTTATTCTGACTGACTGAAGGCAAAATTATTTTCCCAAATAATTTTCTCATACAATATAAAGTTTACGAAACTGTAACAAATACTGACGTTAAAACATTTTCATTTTTCATTCAGTGAAGTAACTCACAGTGGGTCGAGTATCCAGACATTGTACTCAAGAAAAAGCACCTATACTTCATAGCAAAATTACCCAATTAAAAGTACATTTTTCTCCAAAACCTGCTCTAGTAAGTGCAACTGAGTTGATGTAAGTGGTTACTACCCACCTCTGGCCATTGATCACACCTCCACAGGGGAGAAAAAGTCGTCATCACAACGAACCACAAGCAGCTCGGGCTCATGAAGATAAGCTATCGTGAGAATGTGCACATTTGTGTGGGAGATAAAACTAATGCTGACCCGTACAGACTCGGGTGTATCTGCATGCGTATCTCTCTGCAGCCACTTTATCAAAGTGTTTTTAGAACAACACAACACAATTATGCAGCACTAAATACAGGCAGCAGCTAAAAGCTAAATGTGCATCATATAAAA